TTCCATGACAACGGCATAATTATAAATCACTTACACATCAACGACATTTTAAATTCTTGTAATGTCATTTTTAAAATGAAGTTCCCATAATAACATCGAAAAGTACAGATCCTTATTTGATGCGGTTTGGAAAACTCTCAGTGGAAGAGAACAAACAACGACTGTTCGTCTCCAAACACAGCACATAGGTCGGAACTGCCACAAAAAGAGAAATAAATCCAACAACAATGACAACAACAATTTGATCTTATCCTCCAAACAAAAATGTTCTAGGTAATAAATAGTCGCGCACATATTATTATTAATTTGATGAAATCTTCGACCAACAACCAATCAGAAAGCTGCTTCGTGTCACGTGACATTACTTGGTCAGATCTCTTGTGTATGCGCAGATTGCAATAAGCTCTTATTGACGTCCGGGTCAAAGTATATTTAATTTATTGATGAAGAAAACCAGAGGTCTATAATTTGTGATAGTGTGTGCATAGGATACATGACACCCCCCCCCCCCCCCCCCACCCAAAAATTTTTTTTTAAAATGTCCAACGTAAAGGAGCGATCAAAAGTGTTTTTGAAAGACCCGCAAAGTCGACAGGCTCCTAATATCGAAACATCTGAGGTATACAAACTTACGTAGATTGTTTTGAAATTTCTTCAGATACTTTCGGTCTCCGTAAAGTTCTCCCAGAATTATTCTCATAGTTGGCTCATCTGGCGGGCGAGTGGCTGAACCTGCAGACGACCCAGATTTGGCGCTCTCTGGTCTGTGGGGGATCAAAATGTGAACTTTTATTTATGGACATGTTTAGATTCTAAAGAATCGCCTTTTTTTTCAACACGACAAAGGAAAAGGTGGTGGTTAAAAGGCGTCACTGTTAGATTTTCCTTTTTCCTGTAATTGTTTCAGTCTGCCTTAATTTTCCTTCTTCCAAATGACCGTTACTGTGTCGTTGCAATTATTTTGTTACTTAAACAGACCAGAAGTTCATAAATAATAATGTTGCTTCATTAAAAAAAAAAAAAACTTTAGCAACAACCACAGCAACAGTGATAATAACACACCGCCCACCTTGGTAATAAACTATCAAAGTAAACATTAAGTAAAAAGGCAATTAAAAAAATTGAAGATTCATAACATCTTATTTGCAAAATAATCTAGCATTCAGTCATCAGTAAACAACTGAAATAATGTAAAGTTTACCTTTGCGAGCTGCCAAAGTCCGATTTCAAGAAATGCAAGAGTTTTCTTTTTCTGTTGTTGTTCTTGTTATGCTTTGTTTGTATCCTTCGCTTTTTTCCACTTCAAAAATGTTTTCTGTTGCTTTGCGTTTTCTCGAGTGCACTTTTCGTTAATGATTTTAGCTGTTTACTTGGTTGCTTGATTTGCTTGGATTTTTTTTTCAATTACGATTTTGTTTCTGTTCTGTGTAGTTTTGTACCGCTTGTCTGTTTTGTAGG